GTGTGTGTGTGTGTGTGTGTGTGTGTGTGTGTGTGTGTGTGTGTGTGTGTGTGTGTGTTTCCAGCTGATGGCACACTGCCACTGGAGGGGTCTGACCAAAAGGAGGCTTCTCGAGAGATCTCCCCCGTCTGCACTCCTGACAGAGAAGGGTGGGTGTCAAAGATCCCAGGGTTTGTATTGATGCTGTCACACCTAAAATATGTGTGTATGTTTTTGTGTTGATGTGTGTGTGTGTGTGTGCGCTGGCAGGTTCATCATCTCCAGGTCCATCCCGAAGCTGGAGGACATCCCTGAGACTGAGGCAGCAGCAGAGACTCCTGGGTATTTTTCCAAATCAAACTCAGAACCAGCACCAGGGTTCGACACGACGATGCTGCATTTAAAAAAAGTGTTTTGTGTGTTTTAGGTTGTTGTCAGACTTGTCGGAGCCTGAATGGGAGCCTGTGCTTTTTCAGTCTCTGTTACCAGCGGAGGCCAGCCGCAGACATGTCAGCAACATTTTTCAGAAGCTGCTGGGTAAGAGGACGCAGCATCACTGTCCACTCATCCATCACTCAGGCTGGAGTTAAACAGATTGATACGTGCTCTCTGTGGAATGACACACTTTCAGGTTCCAGATGATATTACTGTATGCCTGGAGTCATGTGAGACTTGGTGTTTGTGTTGCTGGGACCAGTAACTCTACTGGTCAGTGCACGATGCAGTGAAAGCTTCAGATCCTATCATGCTGTTTATGTTTCAGTCTAAAAGAGTTCTACTTATTTTCCTCATCAGTCCATGCAGAATTTCCCATTCATGCTAAAAAGAAGCTTGAACCCCCTGAAATATACGTCCATACGCAGCGGTGGGCAGCGCTAATCCAAAAATCAGCTCCGCAATTTCTACAGCGCTTATGAAAATATTTAGGTTTGCAACTTCAAAAATGCTTATGTCATAGAAAAATTATTTTTTTGTTTATTTTTTAATTGAAAGCTTTATACAAACCAGAAGGCAGTGTTACAAATACATGTTCAAATTAATAATAAAGAGGCATAGGTGCAGAACAGATAAGAGAAAATAAAATAAAATAAAAAATCAGTATATAAATAAAACAAAACACTGAAAACAGGGGCAATTACAGGCTACAAAACAGCTAAATTATGTTCTTCAATAATGTTGAGAAGTTTCTTAGCTATAGGAGACACCATTATTTTAAGGGCTTTTACATAGATTAGAAACTCATTGAAAAAGACACAAAATTTGGGAGACATTTTTTTACATTTGGTCTTGTGTATATATGATTTGCCAAAAATTACAACAGTGTTCACTAAAAGGGATGTGTTTTTGCAGTCCAGTATAAGTCCAAAAATAATGTCTTTCTGACAGAAATTTTCCAGCTGTGAAAAACTAGGATGTAACCATTTAAAAACATCTTGCCAAAAGGTACTAGAGAAATTACAATGAAAAAATAAATGGTCGGTCGTTTCAATCTCAGTATTACAGTATTGTCATAGAAAAACTAGCAGAAGCTAATTTTAAAGCACATGTTCAATTTGACACTTCCTAGCTGACAATTCATGTACAATATGCACAACACTGCCAACTTGTGGTGTACAGCTTAATTCTACAACCGCTGATTGCTGGGGATCTGATTTCCTGTAAGAACTTTAGCTCCTGGTGTAAAAAATTAAAAAGTTGTTGAGGATTGCTAGTTCGGCTGCTTCTTTGTCTTTTTCTTTTGTTTGTTGTAGATTTTTCATTAAAGACGCATCAATAAAGTAATTTTAAAACTGTTTATTGGAAAACTGAAGTGATGCATTCTGGGTACATGATGGATTTGATTTGTGACTGGAAACAAAAGCACGGAGTACAGGGAACTATCTGCAAACTTCAAAATAAGAGCATGGATTTTAAAGTTTTCCATGTAGTTGCTCCAGTTGACCACTAGATGTCAGTCTAACCCCGTTGGCGGATGAATAAGTAAAAGTGTTGTATAAAGTACCTCAAAGTGATACTTGGGGCGGCTGTGGCGGAGTGGTTAGGGGAGTCGTCCTGGAACCAGAAGGTCACTGGTTCGATCCCCTGTCCAGCC